GACGCCATCGACAGGCGACCGGTGAAACGCAGCGTTACCTGAATAAAATGACAGATTTCTCTGAGTTTGAACATTGTTGGAAACATTTGGGATAATGGAAGAATTTTTTCTGCCTATTGGGGTTTTTGGAATAATGGCACCAAAGATAAATGTGACCCACCTTTGGCACATTGTTCTCTCTCTGTCTGCAGGTACATGGCGATCCTCTACCCTCTGAGGCCTCGTATGAAGCACCAGACGGCGTACTGTGTGATTCTGACAGTTTGGATCGTCCCCATCTTTATCTCCATCCCCTCTGCCTACATGGCCTCTGAGACGACGTACCCACATGTGGAAGGTCGCACCTACAAGACCTTCTGCGCTCAGATCTGGCCTGTGGACCAGCAGGTTTACTACCGCTCCTACTTCCTCCTCGTCTTCGCTCTGGAGTTCATTGGCCCGGTCACCGTCATGGCTGTCTGCTACATCCAGATTTCCAGGGAACTGTGGTTTAAGGATGTTCCAGGTTTCCAGACCGAGCAGATCCGGAAGAGGCTCCAGAGGCGTCGGAGGACGGTGGTGGTGCTGATTCTGGTGCTGGTCGCCTACGTCTTGTGCTGGGCGCCGTACTACGGCTTTGCCTTGCTGAGGGACTTTTACCCCACCCTCATATCCAGAGAAAGGAACTCCCTGGTGGCCTTCTACATCATCGAGTGCATCGCCATGAGCAACGGGGTCATCAACACCCTTTGCTTCATGAGTGTCCGAAACAACAACAAGCGCCTGAAGAAGGCGGCGAGGTTTCCGCTGAGGCTGGTGACTTTTGTGGCCACCAAGTCGGTGTATGAAGGGGAGGCACGGACTTCCTCCCTTCGGGTGACAGAAGACGTGGAGGGAACTCGGAGGTAAAACATCTGACAGTTTAAACGCCACGCCGACTTCAACATCAGCATCAAAGTGGGAATATTTATTACCAGACCAGAGGCGTGGATGTAGCGTGAAGCTCGTACAGCAAAGAAGAGAGCAGTGTGGCCATGTTTGTTTAAGTTTAAGTTTGTGGAAACATTGGACGGGCAGAGATGTTCCGACAGATGCTGGACATGCTGAAGGAATTTCCCCTGCTGTGATTTAGGGTGGCCCAACCACCTATAGCCTATTCAAAACTCATTTTCTACTAAAAGACTGATAATGCTTACAATCAGGAAAGTTTTCCAGAGCAAGTGAGGCTTTTTCTTGTGTGGTACTGGATCACAGTACCACACAAGAAAGTGTTTCAGACAGCACATTGCTGTGTTGAGTCTCTTCAGCCGCGCTGTTTGGGGGCGCTTTCCTGTCTTAAAAAACAAGCGCTTAACATGATGTGATGATGTGGCGTCACATGCAGCTGTGGCGGCGGCTTGTTAATAGCACAGTTATTACTTTGGTTTATGTATGAGTAAACTTCTCTCCTCCAGCCTCTCTCTCGCTCTCTCTTTAACCCCAACCGGTCGAGGCAGATGGCCGCCCACCTAGAGTCGTGGGTGGTTCGAGGTTTCTGCCTCTTAAAAGGACGTTTTTCCTTGCCACCGTCGCCAACTGCTTGCTCATTGTGGGAACTGTTGGGTCTGTAAATAATAAAGTACAGTCTAGACCTGCTCCATTTGAAAAGAGTCCTGTTGTGATTTGGTGCTTTACAAATCGAATTTGAATGAATAAATACTCTGGTGTCATCACAGTGAAGCATGACTTCTTCAGGACGTCATGTTGTCTGGAAGTCACCAATCTGCATCCAGTTGCTGTGAGTTTTTATTTAATTTGTATTGTGAAGATCAAAATAAATGATTTTGATCTTCTTGATGAAGCTGTTTCAGGTTGTGTGTGCAATGTGTCAGGAATAACATCAAACACTACTCTTAGATAGAAATAAAGTTGGAATAATCCAACGTCTCCCACATAAACAAACTATTATTATTAATATATATATTGTACAACCGACCAGTCTGATGTGTGTAGAGGTTTGTGTGGTTATTCTGTAGAAGCCTGGTGTCATTTGCATGTAATGTAATGAAGGTAATCACAGTGGACGTATGCGTCCTGCTGCCTTCGGGTTTCTGAAGGGATTTCATGAACTGAATGGGAAACTTTTCATTATGAAGCAGCTGTGAAGAATCGCTCATATTGTGCAGACTGATGTTTCTGCTTTAAACACATAAATGTATGATGCAGTGGTTAATAACATTATCACGTACATACTGTGTATTTGTTGGAAATATTCTGTTGTTGCGTAGCAGCAGACTGACACCAGAAATACGTGTTTCTGAGCCGTCTGTTCTCGGCACAAAGTCTTCCACCAAAAGACCCACAACTCGAACCTTCTGCACCTTCTTAGGCTCAATCACATTTTGAAGATGGTTAAAAGATAAAAAAAAAAGCAACCTAGCTCTTAATGATTTTTTTATGAGGTCAACAAATTTAAGATTCGTCCAGAGAGACGCTTTCAAACTGAATCTTCAAGATTTCTGACATGTATGAAAATTGGTCAGCACGTGTATCATTACGAGCCTCTTGGACCTCTTGGAGTCTTTTTTAATTTAGTGGTCATTTTCTGCTGTATTTGAACAAACTCTTGCTCTGAACACGTCTACAAGCCAATATGAGGAACTATAATGTAAGTTACATGAGAGGAAAGTGATAGGGTTAGGGTTTCCATTAGGAAAGGATGAGGTGACACAGGAACCAGTTTTACGTTGAATGAAAGGAGGATTTTCCTTCCCTGTGTGTTAAACGTGTGCAGTGATGAATCTATTCACATCTGCAGCTGTTTCCTGTTCAAATTCATGAGGCCCTTTATCGTCATCAATGAATGCAAAGTGTCAGCTGCCACAGTCACGACCAAATATCTCAACCACTGCTGGACGGATTAACACAAGGTGCTCGTGTTCAGCATGAGGTGTAATGACTGGGATTTTTCCTCCAACGCCATCATCGGGTCAATAATTAAATTTGTCCAATAATTTATGACCAAATACCTGCGACACTCATTTTCCTGTCAGAGAGTAAGGTCACTGCTTTCCTTCCTGACACTTTAGGATTTCATTAAACATTTAAAGAGAATCAGTTTGGGTAAAGTGCTGATTAGCTAGAAAAGCTGTTAGCAGCCAGACTCACAGTCTTGTTAAGAGCAGGCTTTTGATGATGTGACTAATTAAGTATTTTAGAGTAGGGAGGTCAAATTCATAGAAAACATAATTAAACAGTTGACAAATTAAAGGTTCAATATGTAACTTTCATCAAACTGTAGTTAACAGCGCCACCAGTGGCAGTTCAGTGAACTGCAGTCAGCGTCCTGTTGCATCAACCACAGTGACAAACACTGAACGCTGTAAA